GCTCAGGCAATCCACTCACCTCAGCCTCCCAAAGGCGCGGGATTACAGGCTGAGCCACCGAGCCCGGCTAAGTACTCAAATTTTAATATAGATTTTTTTTTCCTTCTTAACATGCATTTTATACATTTTTTCACCCTCTGTGCACACGTGCGCACCTGAGACTTTTAGTCCAGAACAATTATAAAGTCCCATTTCGGAATCCAGTTCATTAGGCTAAACAAATATACGCGATGTCACCAGAAAAATGTAAAGTTCTAGATTTTATGATATGAGCCAGAACAATCAAGGACTTTGAAACAGAAAAAAACACTTCAAAGAGCTCAAAGATAAGACAAAGTTTGATATCTGGGTGCCTGGAGAATGATGATGCCCCTGACAGAGAAGTGTATACTGGGAAAACCCAAGATGATATCTAAGAAGACATAAGCAGGTCCGTTCGGAGAGTCTTGAGTTTGGGTGACCGCTGACAGTTGAGTAGAAAATGAACCACGAAATGGTCTTTCAAGCAGTCCTGGATCTGGGGAGGTTTGCGGTTGGAGATAACAACTTTTAAAATGAAACACTGTTAAGTAAGTAGTTAAGAGGGTACCTGGAACTTCCAGGCGTTCAAAATATGTTTACTGTTAGCATTATTAGCATAATTGTTAGCATAATTATTAGCAGTACTGACTAGACTGGGGGGTGGAGCTGCAAGCTAAGCAAATGGCCAGAGCAGGCTGGATTGGGACAGAACAGGTGTGCCTGAGGGAACCAGGACTCAGAAATGTCGACACGAACCAACATGTATCCATAGAGCCGGTCTCCGAAGAATCACCGCTAGGGATGACCGGGTGCGAGAAAGAGGATACGTTCCATCGGCAGAATTAGAAAGAAATGAACGCGAACGCACTTGGAAAGGATCTATTCGCCCTTCTGATCCCCATGACCGAACACCTAGCCATCGGGCTAAACAGCAGGTTGAACTGAGCACCGAGCAGAGGACCACACAGCGCGCTCCGCTCCACCGGCTGCGGCGCGTTCTAAAAAGGACCAGACACCCTCCCCTCCCCTCCTCCCTCTCCACCTTGCGAGGGTCCTCCGTCCCGCCGGGCGAGTAAATCACACACTCCGGAAGTTTGGCATTCGAGGGCCCAGCAGGGGAGGAGATTTTCTGCAAGTCGAGAAAGTAGAAGTAGGGCAGTCCGAGGAGATTGAAAGGGCAAAACTCTCAGGCGAGCAAACTGTAAGTTCGGATTCGTTTTAGGACTTCCCCTCCATGCCTCAGGAGCTCAATGGATCACGGCTTTCACGACAGGCTAAGGGTGGGAAGGAGGGAAGGGGGAAGCTTGAAAAAAGGGAAGAAAAGGAAAAAAAAACCAAACTCTCCAAACTCCCCACCCCGCCCCGCTCGGTGCTTTCAGAGGCAAAGACCTCACGGGGAGGTGGATGGGGCGCAGCCCCCCCCCTTTCAACCCTGCTCTTGATTTTCCGGCGAAGGAATCCATCCGCACGGATCCGTCGGGCGGGAGGGGAGGAGGGTGCGCGTGTGTGCGCGCGTCTGTGTGTGCGCGCGTGTCGGCGGAGCGGGTCCCTCTTCGCTTTCTTCGCCAGTAGCCCTCCTCGGGGCTCCGGGAGGTACAGAAGTCCGGTGGCTCCCCGGATCGGCCT